GGCCAGGGTGGGGGAAGGAGGGCGGGCGCTCACTGCACGCGGGTGCTGGGAGCAGGCTCTCGCGTGGGCAGGGGAGGGCGCATGCCGCGGAGCCGGGTTGCAGGGACTGGCGGAGGAGGTTAAAAAGAGTGCACTCCTGCACCCACCGACCCATTAAGTTTAAAGGGTCTTGGCTGAGTCCCTTAGAGAGTGTGGACCTGTGCCCCCCTCCCGTTTGGGGGGGGGGGATAGAAAGTCCCTTCTCCGCCTGCCTGAGTGGAGACTGGTATGTCTTTTAGAGAGTGAGGAAGCTTTGACCCCGGGTTGCCCGGCCTGCACGACCGAGGAGGTGGCTGGACAGCTGGAGGATGAACGGAGAAGCCGACTGCCCCACAGACCTGGAAATGGCCGCCCCCAAAGGCCAAGGTAGGGACCCCCACCTCCAACCCTCTTAAACTTAAATTCTCTTTCCCACGTGGCTGTCTGCAGGGCTCACTCCCCTTCTAAAAAGGGTTTTTCCAGTCTACATTCTGTGAATCAGGGGGAGCAGGTGTCTGGAGTGTTTATGAGTCAAGCATCCCTCACACTTTGGCTAAATCCAAATTATTTGGCCTGGAGCCGTTCCCCTCCCCTCCATGTTAGAGGAGGATGAAGGGAGCTTGTGTAGTCTTCTTTCTGGGGGTTCCCGGTCAGTCTGAAGTGTGTTTCAGCCCAGAGTCCTGGAATGAGGAGGAAGGATGAGTGTGGAGAGAAGAGGGGAGTTAAGAAGGCTTCTCAGGCTTCTTGTTATTAAGATCACAAGGCTTTTGTAGAGGCTGATGGAGAGGAGGGGTATTGTGGTGGTTTGAGGCCCCAAGCTCTGGGATGTATATGGACTAAACCCCTACCTCATCCGGCATGGATCCAGTCTCTGTGGGGGTGGAGTGTAGGATGAAGCTGAGCATCTGGCAATGCTTGTGGCACATTGAGGGGAGAGGAGATTATAGGTCCATGTGACCCACTCTGCAGAAACCCTGGCCCAGGTTACCAGATGCAAATGAAAATGAAGAGCCCTTTTGACTTCTGGCCTTAACTATTCTCCCAGCTCACCTTCCAGGGCAGCCACCCTTCAGAGAGGCATAGATCTCTCAGAGGCTGCATTTCAGTGGCTGAAAATGGGGGATCCAATCCCCGTTTTCCACTTACCCAAGGAGGTGGACTGAGAAGTCAACTTGTAATTCTGCAACAGGGCCCTAAGAGCCGTGCCCACCTGCCTGGTCTCAGAGCTGCCCTATACAGTTCTTCCATATCCATCCCTATATCCTTATATGTCAGAAATTCTCCTTTGGCCTACCTTGAGGGATTGGGAGAGGAAGGTAGCTCTAATATTGGTTTCCAGCTGTGCTGGAAAGAGATATACATAGGTTTTCCTTACTGCCCATATGGCATCCTTAGTCCTTGCACATTTTAGGCTATCCGCTTAAAACGTAGACTTGAACTTGGCAACACATTTAGATATGTATGCCTCCCTGCTTCCCTCCCTCTCTGATAAGCTAGCTCCTTTCTCACAAGGCCCCAAATCACTGTATCTTCTTTTCTACCACTCTTATCCTTCCCCTTCCCCTTCCCCTTCCCCTATAGTAAATAGCAAGCAGCCTGTGGCAGTCTGGCATGTTAGAAATGATAAGAGCTTTGAAGTAAGCCAGACCTGGGTGTGAGCCTGGCTTTGTAGGTATGACACTGGATGGATTGGAGTCCCAAGATGGCCATAGATGCCTTAGGGCCGAGCCATGTCTTGTCTCTGCCTTCAAATGGAAGCAACCAAGGATGGGGATGCTCGGGGGAGGAAATGTTGAGCACTTATGGACTGGGGGATAGATGGGAGGGCAGCGTGAGCCAGGCGTGATGGCCTCTTACTGCTCTCCAGACCGTTGGTCCCAGGAAGACATGCTGACTTTGCTGGAATGCATGAAGAACAATCTTCCATCTAATGACAGCTCCAAGTTCAAAACCACCGAATCACATATGGACTGGGAAAAAGTGGCATTTAAAGATTTTTCTGGAGACATGTGCAAGCTCAAATGGGTGGAAATTTCTAATGAGGTAACTGATCCCCACCTTACTCACACATATACATCTCTATGCATGCCCTTCCCTCAAACTTCCTGGCAGGGGAAGTGAAACAAGCATGTAAACAGGAAAGAAAAAGACCAAGAGAGGTGTTCATGAGGCCACCTGTTAGGTCTCTACCTTGTATATTTGGGGAGGTAACACAGATGACAGCATTGGCCACCATAACTGAGTTCTTAGTTTTGCCACTTTCTATTTGGGTGACCTTGAATACTTACCTTCTTGGGGCTTATATTTGCTTGAGCTAATTTGGGACTGAATGAGGTGCTTCGTGGACAACGATGTTGAGGTCAGGCATGTACCTTGTCATTATCTTTTGGTACGAGTTGCCTGGGCCCCTGCTGTAGGCACGGACCAGCACCTGGGCATTGGGGTACCTGTGTTGTATGGTTCTTGGCCTCTGCTCTCCCCCTTTGGTAAATTCAATCTAGTAGAGAATAGAGGAGACACATTGGAAAATGAAGTTACCTTTTGTGTGGCAGTTCCTTCCCAACTTCCCTTCCATTTCTACTTCTTCCTCCAGGTGAGGAAGTTCCGTACTTTGACAGAATTGATCCTTGATGCTCAGGAACATGTTAAAAATCCTTACAAAGGCAAAAAACTCAAGGTAAGTTACCAGAAGAAGGTGCATGATAGGTAGAGAAGGAATGGTGCAAAGAATAGATAGTGTCTGACCTCCATTGTGTCCTTGTCCCTCTTTCCAGAAACACCCAGACTTCCCAAAGAAGCCCTTGACTCCTTATTTCCGCTTCTTCATGGAGAAGCGGGCCAAATATGCAAAACTCCACCCTGAGATGAGCAACCTGGACCTGACCAAGATTCTGTCCAAGAAATACAAGGAGCTTCCAGAGAAGAAGAAGGTGGGGGGGAGGAGGGATTAGGTAGGGGAGGGAAAAGGTTAGGAGTAACTGGTATGGGTGGGTGTAGGTCAGTTCAGGGGTGAGCATTAGACAGAGGGACTTGGCTTCAGGGACATGGAAGAGTTAGCACAGGAGAGCAGGTTCTTGGGCATTCACACCAGATCACCTCCCAGGCTCACACATGACCAGGCACAGGCACCATCACAAATGGAAACCAGACCAACTTTTCCCCCACAGACAACCCATAGCATTCTGTTTCATACAGTTCTTCCCTCATACTTGCATCCTTACTGCCTGCACGTAATTCTTCACTCTCTGAACATTTCCATCATGGTTTCACTTGATACTTGCATTATCTTCATAAAGGTAACCCCAGGAAAAAGGGTTATTCCAATTTTGTAAGCAAAGAACCAAATGTCCCAGGTCACACAACTAATGATGCTAGAGCAGGACTTGGCCTTAGCTCCCTGGACTCCTACTCCAATGCTCTTCTCACTGTCATGTCCACGTGTTACATGGATTTCCTTCCCCACACACATGTTCACCCCTCCTGGCCTCATGCTGTCCTCTGCAGAGGTGGGTGTAGAGCATTTTCCTGGACCATCAAAGGGCTTTAACCTTGGGCAGAGATTGCCCAAGCTTCTGGGCAGGGATGGACACAGTCAAACACAGAGCTCAGGAGTCCCTCCCAGAGACCAGACTGAGATGGGTTAATGAAAGAGATAAACACAGAGGAGATGCTGGTTGGCAAGACAGCCAGGGATGTTGTGAAAGGCAACAAGAAAGATCAAAAAAAAACAAAACACATCTTGGAGAGGAAACAAAGTTGTACACAGCTCTCAAAAGGTGGTACTGGCTGCCACACTGTAAGTAATCCTTTACCTGGTTGGAATACTCTGGCTGCAGACACATATGTTCTTGGTGCCGTACCCCCAAAAGGAGCCAGCTTGCTTGGGTAAAACCAGCTGTCTGCACAACCATTGCCCATACCAAGCAGGGATATGAATTGCTGGACTTCATGGATGAGGTTGGACGTTGACTGTACATAAAACACTCAAATACTCATGGGATGAGAGGGATAGGCCAAGGGTCTGAAAACCAGAGAAGGCCAGAAGAAACTGGGAGAGTGGACAAGGTGTTGGCTTGGGGGGACAGGGGGGGACACAAGACTTGGGCCTGTTCTGACTTTCCCACTGAATCACTGTTTATGGGGCATTTGGTAAGTCACTTCATTTCCCTAGGCTTGGTCTTTATCTTAGTGTGGAAGGTGAGCCAAATTAATTTGACTCTTAAAAACTGCTGTTTTAGCTGAGGAGGATTGAGATTTGGGGTAGAGGAGGTTGGGCTCTGCTCCTGGTTTTCTGTGGGAACCAGAGGGCCAAATGGAGCTGACTCTCTGTCAGCCACTGGTGCCACTTCTATTTTGGGCAGGGGTTGGGGTCAGTCACCAGAGCCCCTGGCGCCTTCCCTTCCAAGGGAAAAAGAAGAGATAGACACTAAGTGGGAGCCAAGACAGGAGGTGATGAGAAAGGGGAAGAGCCTGAAAAGGAGGCATGAGAGAGAGAATATGGAGAGGTAGGAAATGTGCAGGGAGGGAGTCAGGTGGGGGTGGGAAGATAGCGTAAGACTGATAGAAGGAGCTGGAGGAAGGAAGTCAGGTGGCAGAAGAGAATGAGTGGGCTGAGGGAGGGAGGGCTGCAGGAGCCTAGAAGACAGGATTGGGGGGAGAGAGAAGGTGGTGATGGTGTCAGAATCAGAAAGAGAAGGGAAGGGTAGCTGGAGACCCAGAAATTCAAGAGATAGGACACCATTTCCCTTGCAAGACTTCACTCTGCATTCCATTCAACATAGTCTTCCAAGTTTGGCCTGCCCCTGCCCTGTGGCCAGCCTCTAAGGGGGCAGACATTATCAGCTGCCACAGTCAATGGGAAGAAGGAGTGACAAGAACAAAGCCTACCCCTAACTCCTCACTGTGGGAGTCCCTTTTCTGACACTGTCGTTGTGTTACTGTGGGTAATGCTCTACCTTCCTTTGGGACTCTCCCTCTTAAAAGGAAAGAACAGGAGTGTCTAGGAGACCTCTGTGGCTTGCCTTGTCTGGTTATAAGCCAACAGGTCTGGTCTATGGCCCCCATCCCACTGGAAGGCAGACTGCCATCTAGCATCATAGAGTGGGGTTAAAAGCTGGTACACAGGGCTTTGGGTACCTTTTATAGCTCAGGGTGAGGTATGCCTGGGTCCTGGATGACCCCATCCCCTCCTCCCCCCAGATGAAATATATTCAGGACTTCCAGAGGGAGAAACAGGAGTTCGAGCGAAACCTGGCCAGATTCAGGTAAGGCAGTGGAGCCCAGAGGAGGGCCACGGGGTGCTGGGTGTGGCAGGATAGGCTAACCCTGGCCAGAACCTGAGTTGCCATCCATGGGGTGTGGAAGATGGATAGGCCACATATGGACCCCAGTGTGTCATGCTCAGGCCCAGGAGCAGACAGGGAGGCTTAGGGGCGGGGGCAGCTAGCTTGGGTCTGCCCTGGTAGTGTTCCCTGCTGACTCATGCTCCCCATGCCCTGGCTAGAGAGGATCACCCTGACCTAATTCAGAATGCCAAGAAGTCGGACATCCCCGAGAAGCCCAAAACCCCCCAACAGCTGTGGTACACCCATGAGAAGAAGGTGTATCTCAAAGTGCGGCCAGATGTGAGTGTCCGGCCAAGGGTGGGGATGGAGGGTGAATGGTGGCAAGGGGGGAGCCGCGCCAGGTTGGCCGGGCACGGTGCAGGGGAGCAGGAGAGGAGGCCCCCTCCCCAGGGGTGGGCTGCATGGACAGGGCCTGGGCCAGCTGGCGTGTGAGTGTGTGTGTGCGTGCGTGTGTGTATGATCCTGTCCCCTTTCACTCAGGCGGGATCTCCGCCTCTCTGCTTTCCCCTCCTGGCCTGTGGGGGACACTGGTGTGACCTCCTGTGGCCTGAGGGGGCGGGGGCCTCTGTGCCCCCCTCCCCCCTCTCCCTGCCCCTGGCTGCCTGTGTGTGTCTGACGGCTTTTGGTTTGCAGGCCACTACGAAGGAGGTGAAGGACTCCCTGGGGAAGCAGTGGTCTCAGCTCTCGGACAAAAAGAGGCTGAAATGGATTCATAAGGCCCTGGAGCAGCGGAAGGAGTACGAGGTTAGGCTTCCGCTGCGCTCCTCCCCATCCGGCTCTTCACGAGCCTCTGCCCTCTGACTCCGTGGCCACCGCGCTCTGCTGGAGGCGTGACTCCCATCCATCTATTGGGGGAGGGGCCTTTTGGGCCCCTCACCTCTGCCCCTACCTTACCTACTCTTGCCCCCATGAGATCTCAGGCTAGGGCAGAGCAGGGCACCATGACTCGTGTGGCATACTGACACACGTCCACCCCCAGCTTTGCTTCCTGTCCTTCCTCCCCAGCGGCTCTCCCCCTGACCCTTCCCTGGCTAATCCCATACCCCGTTGCCCTCCACTTCCACCTCACTCTGCAGGAGATAATGCGGGACTATATCCAGAAGCATCCTGAGTTGAACATCAGTGAGGAGGGTATCACCAAGTCCACCCTCACCAAGGCTGAACGCCAGCTCAAGGACAAGTTTGATGGGCGACCCACCAAGCCACCTCCGTGAGCGCAGCCCTGGGATGGGTTGGCAAGTGGGCAGCTGGGGAGGTGGGACAGGCTCTGCAGGTGAGGAAGCCCGCTGTCCTGCTTGCTCAAAGGCTGCATCTCCCCCACTGGCTCTGATAGGAACAGCTACTCACTGTACTGTGCAGAGCTCATGGCCAACATGAAGGATGTGCCCAGCACAGAGCGCATGGTGCTGTGCAGCCAACAGTGGAAGCTGCTCTCCCAGAAAGAGAAGGATGCCTACCATAAGAAGTGCGACCAGGTGAGCTGTGGCAGGGCCCATCCTAGAGACCTTTGGACCTGGCTTAGGTGTATGAAGCATTAAGCCTGACCCCAGCTAGGGGTGGCATGTGTGCCTTGGGCACCTGCTTCCAACTCAGAGGCCAAGCCTCTGGCCCAGACCTCATGCTTATCATCTGCTGAGAGGCAGCTACAGCTGTGCCCAGACTCTGGCGCCCTACTGAGCTTACAGCCTTCTGAGTACTGTAGTCAGACTGAACCTGACTCCCATTGCTTTCCAGAAAAAGAAAGATTATGAGGTGGAACTGCTCCGTTTCCTGGAGGTGAGTGTTCCTCTGGCGGGGCAGTGGACAGGGAAGACTGTGACTTGGCAGGCAATCCCCTTAGGAGCCCCTGAGATGGCAGGATGCAGTTTGGCAGCCTGTGCTACTCTTCCCTGACCAGAGTCTGCCCGAGGAGGAGCAGCAGCGGGTCCTAGGGGAGGAGAAGATGCTGAACATCAACAAGAAGCAAGCCACCAGTCCGGCCTCTAAGAAGCCAGCCCAGGAGGGGGGCAAGGTGAGTAGGGCCCCAGTGCACAGGTGAGGGTGAGGAAGGAGGGGCTTCCAGCCGCCCCTGTGGACCCCTGACCCTCTTTTCCCCGGCAGGGCGGCTCCGAGAAGCCTAAGCGCCCCGTGTCGGCCATGTTCATCTTCTCTGAGGAGAAGCGGCGACAGCTGCAGGAGGAGCGGCCTGAGCTCTCTGAGAGCGAGCTGACCCGCCTGCTGGCCCGAATGTGGAACGACTTGTCTGAGAAGAAGAAGGTCAGGCTTGCCTTGGAGAGCCCCTGGGAGGCTGCGGGGGCCACTTCCTCCCCACAGGGCTGGTTGGGCCGCCCAACCCTGCCCTGGGTGCCCACGCGGTGCCTGGGCTCAGATGGTGGGGCTGGGAGCCCAGCGAGCAGGAAGGCGGGAAGCTGTCAGCTGAGGGCTGCTGGCTCCCCGGGGAGCAGAGCAGGGGGCGGAGGCGAGCCCCAGGCGGGAGACATCTGCACCAGCCCACGCCTTTAGGCCCCACCTTCCAGCCGGGGAGCCTCGGCGCTGGATGGGACGCGCGCGCCCTCTGTAGGTGGCCGGAAGGCTGACACCAGACAATCCCCACAGGCCAAGTACAAGGCCCGAGAGGCGGCGCTGAAGGCGCAGTCGGAGAGGAAGCCTGGCGGGGAGCGCGAGGAGCGGGGCAAGCTGCCTGAATCACCCAAGAGAGCTGAGGAGATCTGGCAGCAGAGTGTAATCGGCGACTACCTGGCCCGCTTCAAGGTGACAGGGCGTGGGAAAACGTTTGTATCTACAGCCTCCAGCCCCGGGTGACCTTTCTCTCAGCTGATACCTGTCTCTCCCCAGAACGACCGGGTGAAAGCCTTGAAAGCCATGGAGATGACCTGGAATAACATGGAGAAGAAGGAGAAACTGATGTGGATAAAGAAGGCAGCCGAAGACCAAAAGCGATATGAGGTGGGAAGGTGCTTGGGGCCACCCACTCCATTTAAAATTTGGGGATTCTGGCCAGGCAAGGTGGCTCACGCCTGTAATCCTAACACTCTAGGAGGCCCAGGCAGATGGATTACTTGAGTTCAGGAGTTCCAGACCAGCTTGACCCCGTCTCTACTAAAAATAAAAAACTAGCCAGGTGTTGTGGTGGGCAGTAGTCCCAGCTACTCAGGAGGCTGAGACAAGCAATCAAGAAGTTAGAGGCTGCTGTGAGCTATGATGCCATGGCACTCAGTCCCAAGGTGACTGAATGAGACTCTGTCTCAAAAAAACCCCACCAAACTTGGGGTTTCCCTTTTGAGTAGAAAGCCCTCCTCACTGTGTGGAGCTCTGAGCCAGAAGTCCCACCCTTAGTTATGCGACCCTGAACATTTTTTATCTTCCTTCTCTGTGTCTCAGTCTCTCATCAGTAAGATAGAAGTGACAACATTAATGGAGTTATGAGAATGCTTTTAAATTGCAGGGCCTCCAGCCTGAGCAGCACAGTGAGACGGGCTGCACCAGTCGCTAGTGTTGGCACACACATGTAGTCCCAGCTACTTGGGAGGTTGAGGCAGGAGGATTACTTGAGTCCAGGAGTGTGAGTTTGCAGTGAGCTGTGATGACACCACTTGCAAAAGAGCAAGACTCTGTCTCAAAAACAAAATCCACAGTGCCTGACATAGATGTGAGTTGTTAGGAAGTTGTGCCCTGGCTGTGCCTCAGTCAGTTTCCCCTCTGGCATAGAAAAGCAGAGCCAACTAAAGTGCTAATGGCATGGGGCAAGAGGCAGCAGTATTTCAGGGCTTGGGGTAAGGGATGAATGTGACCTTTCTGGGTTTCCCCACAGAGAGAGCTGAGTGAGATGAGGGCACCTCCGGCTGCTACAAACTCTTCCAAGAAGATGAAGTTCCAGGGAGAACCCAAGAAACCTCCCATGTGAGCCTAGGAGCTGGAGCCTTCCCTGGAATGGGGGCATTAGGGCTGCTCTGTTGGGATCCTGACCCTCCTTGTACCATTCTTACCTCCCAGGAACGGTTACCAGAAGTTCTCCCAGGAGCTGCTGTCCAATGGGGAACTGAACCACCTGCCGCTGAAGGAACGAATGGTGGAGATTGGCAGCCGCTGGCAGCGAATCTCCCAAAGCCAGAAGGAGCACTACAAAAAGCTGGCTGAGGAGCAACAAAAGCAGTACAAGGTGCACCTGGACCTCTGGGTCAAGGTGAGAGGGCAAGGGACCTTTGGAAAGAAGAGGGAGGCTGGTCCTTATTCATAATTTCATTCAGTGCCTCAGCAGGCCTATAAGTAACAGTTATTATTACTCTTTTAAAGATAAGGAAATCAAGGTACAGGGAAGTTAAAGATCTTGCCTGAGATCACAGAATTAGGAAAACCCAGGCAGTGCCTGTGGCTCAGTGAGTAGGGCACTGGCCCCGTATACCGAGGGTGGTGGGTTCAAACCCAGCCCTGGCCAAACTGCAACAAAAAAACAGCTAGACATTGTGGCAGGTGCCTATAGTCCTAGCTACTTGGGAGGCTGAGGCAAGAGAATCGCTGGAGCCCAAGAGCTTGAGGCTGCTGTGAGCTGTGACACCACAGCACACTACTGAGGGTGACATACTGAGACTCTGTCTCAAAAAAAAGAAAAAAAGGAAGGAAAATCCAAATCAGAATGCCTTTTTCCTCCCTCCACCTGGGACCAGGGAGAATCCTGGCCTCTTGAGCATCCCCTCTGTGCTTTGGTTGAGCTGTTAGGCCTATAAAGAGGGGGGAAAATGCCTGTGACCTCCTCATCCACCTAGGCAGGTTGGCCAGGGAGCCAAAGAGATATAGCAAGTGTTTCTGAAGTTTGGTGAACCTCACTGCCTTACCAGTGTTCATGGGCTTGGTGTTGTAATAGGGCTGATGATGCCAGGCTATATGAGTCATCCAGTGGGTACTTCTCTGAGGCAAGGAAGGCCCTAGAGTCTCCATTTGGGTAGAGCAACAGAAGGAACATGAAAACCCACAATCTTAGTATAGGATTACTTTAAGAAAGATTCAGGACATCAGAAACAGAAATACTGTAGCTCTGTTCACAGATCACAAGGGCTCTCTGCAGAGACCCCAAATCTGGGAAGCCTGGGAAAGCTAAGTTTGGGGTGATGATGTGTCTATGCTCAGTCCTGCAGCATGCTTGGTCAGCGTGCTAAGTTGGCAGTAGTCTGGATAGTGTTCCAACCCTCATCTCCTCCTCTGTCTCCCCAGAGTCTGTCTCCCCAGGATCGTGCAGCATACAAAGAATACATCTCAAATGTGAGTCTGGAAGCAAGACAGCAGTGGGGTGGTGTTTCAGGGGATCTACAGGGTCTAAGACTCAATGCTGCACCTTTGTGTCCCCATCTTCCCCTGCAGAAACGTAAGAGTATGACCAAGCTACGAGGCCCAAACCCTAAGTCCAGCCGGACTACCCTACAGTCCAAGTCGGTGAGGAGCCCTTCCCAGATGGGGGGTGGGTGCCTAGAGTGGTAGGGCAAGCACAGATGTGCCTTCATCCTTTCAAGGAGTCCGAGGAGGATGATGATGAGGATGAAGATGATGAGGATGAAGATGAAGAAGAGGAAGATGATGAGAATGGGGACTCCTCTGAGGATGGTGGTGATTCCTCTGAGTCTAGCAGTGAAGATGAGAGCGAGGACGGAGATGAGGTGGGGCAGATAGGGCATGGTGGGAAGGGAGAGTTGAGTTTTACAAGGAGGGCCACCTAGTGACCATACATCCTTTCTCATCTGCAACCACCAGAATGAGGAGGATGATGAGGATGATGATGATGAGGAGGACGATGATGAAGATGAAGACAATGAGTCAGAGGGCAGCAGCTCCAGCTCCTCCTCTTCAGGGGACTCCTCAGACTCTGACTCCAACTGAGGCTCAACCCACTCAGGGCAGCCACAGAGAGCCCAGGAGCTCCCCTCCCCAACTGACCACCTTTGTTTCTCCTCCATGTTCTTTCTGTCCCCTGCCCCCTGGCCTCCCCCACTTTCTTTCTTTTTTTTTTTTTAAACAAAATATGGTGGGGGTAGGGGGCTAAAGGAGCCCAGGCCAGGACTCTACAGCCTCAAAAGACATCAACCCTGGGGGGTCCTCCAGCAAGAGCAACCATCAGACTGAGCCAGCACTGGACAGGCCTGGTCCACCCCACCCACTTCTGCACTTACGGTTCCGGCATGGACAATGGACCGGGGAGTGGGGGGGAAGGTCCCAAAGAGTTTGATGAGGCTCTCCACACCTGCAGCCCAACCCAAGGTGGGGTGGAGCTCGGGGAAGACCCCTTCCTTCCTAGAGGGGCTTGCTGCCTGGACCCCTGCATTGAAACAAGGCAGGGAACATGTGGGAAGAGGAGGGCAGGTGCTGTTGAGAAAACAGACACTGCTCTGATGGCCCTCTCTCCTGCCCCCTGCAGGAAGGAGCTGCCTGGACCCATTTATGGGGGAGGGGGCAGAAGTGTTTTTTATATATGTGTATATATTTTTTTTTTAAGCTCTGAGCTGTCAACGAGACGTTTCCTACCGATCTCGGCTGCCGTCTCTGTTGTCATTTCTGGGAGAGGGAGGGCTTAGAGGGTAGGTTTGGAACTTTTTAAAAATGGTCTTGATGTGTGTGGGGGAGAGAGTGTGTGTATGAGTGTGTGTGTCCTGTACATAGCATGGGTGCACCTGTGGTGTGTGCAAGTGTGTGTGTGTGGAAGGGGGTCTGTTCTGGAGCCCACTACAGTTTTTGTGAGTCTGGAATAGGGTTCATGAGGGCCATGATGACCCTGGAGGACCAGGATGACTGGTGGGAACAGGCTGAAGCTACCCCTTCTACATCCTCTGCTTTGCCCAGTTTGATTCTATTTGGAGGAGTGTCCTGAAGCCATTCTCTGGTGCTTCCTAGACCAGTTTCCCTCTGCCAGGGTCATGTTCATCTGAGCTGTGCTGGTCTGTCTAGCAGGGGAGGTGAGGGGGGAAATGGTGTGAACCTTAAAGCTTCTATTTGGTGGGGACCCCCCCCCCCCGCCCCAAGCGCACATGAGAGGTCTGCCTGGCCAACGTTGGCTCATAACCTGAGCTTCAAGAAGTGTGTTGGGGGCTCTTGCACATCCTTCCTACCTTCCCCATATCCTCCAGCTGCCCCCTATTTCCTTTGATTTCTCAGGTCTGCTCTCTCCTCCCCCCAACCCCACAGCTGGAGAAGTCTGCAAAAGCTGCTTCTGCAGCTGTCTCTTAACTCTTCCCAGACATCTCAAATTTTTTGGTACCCTGATCCCTTGATTCTTAATAAGCCAAGCCACCTTATCTCTGTGGACTTAATTTTTTTGTTGACTAAATTTAGGGGTTTCCCTTTTTGTTTTTACAATCACGTCAGTGACCTATTTAACTGGGGCTTTGTGCTCTTCCACCTTCCCCCTCTGAATGAAAGCCACGGACTGGGGGAAGAGTGGGGACTCTGCCAAGGAGGCAGGGCAGAAAAGGTGAGGGCCCAAGCCCCAAGAAGGCTGGTGGGTCCCTCTCCCAAGGAAGGCAGAGATGATCTCTGCTTTGCTTTGGACTGTGGTGCTGGGTGTGGGAGGACACTCCCCACTCCTACTCCCCTTCCTTTGTCCTGATCCTGGAATTAGGTACAGGGCTCCTATTTCTTCCTGAGAGCCCCTGCAAAGAACCCCACTTTCTTGTTTGCCCCTGCACTGTTGTGTTTTAGTGGAATGTGTTTTCATTTTAAAACAACTTTGAAAGGGGCACTCTTTTTTTTCCTGTTTTAAAAATTGAAAAATTCTTACAGTACAAACAGGGCTGTGGGGGGTGGGGGTGTTGGTGCTGTAAGAGGTCACTCTTGAGTGCATTTTGGCACTGGGATGGAATGGCTGGGGTGGGAGGACCCCCGTTCCCCCCACATTTTTTTTCTAATATTTAAGGCGTGTTTTGTAGGTTTCAACAACAACCACAACTTGAATTTGTATCATGGGAAGTGGGAGGGAGCGGCTTAGAGTTGTCTGCCTAAGCTTAAGGCCAACTGTGGAGTTTTGTTTTCCCGTTTTTTGTATAATAAAGTGAAAAACAAAGGTTTGACTGCGTCTGGTTACTAGAATCAATGCAGGTGGGACAGGGGTGATCTAACAGATTTGATGTGGAAAGACCCGTGAAACCATCTTGTTCTTTGCTTCTAGAACTATCTTCCTTTTCCCTAAAGATCCCACAGGCACCTATCCTCACATTCTTCTGTTCTCGCACTTTCTCAATTCAGTTTGTTCACCTTGGGTTGTCAGACAACTAAAGATTAAAAAGTTGGAGAACAAATGCATTTTTACCCAAAGGGCATTTCTTTGGAGAACTGGTGGGGATGAGCTCTTAGGGTAAAGGGCTCACCCTCCTAGTGTAAGGGGCTTGTAGGAAGTCGGGGGGCGGGGGGACTCTGAGTCGTCAGCTCTGTCCAGGATCAGGGATAACTTTCCTAACTCCACCCAGGTCTCTAATGGGAAGCAGGCTGGGCCACAGTGACTTGCTCCCTGTGGGTAAGGAAGACAGCCTCCCCTGCACAGGCTTTGGCTGAGTTCCTGGAACTATGAAGGAGTAAAGACCCAGGCCCTGTCCAAGAGCTCTCCCTCAACATCCACCCACTCCTATTCTTGCCCAAATTTCTAAAAAGCTTGTTACCCTTCATGATCTCCCATTTCCTTACTTCATACTCACCATTCCCCTGAGGCTCCTCTCCCAGGGCATCAACATACTTATCATTACACCCAGCAGACACTGTCTCTTGCCTTCTTCTGCTGGCATCACCTCCTCTTCATTTTATCCTAGGTGTTCATGACTCTCCCCTGAAACTCCAATTATCACTCATATGCAAAAATTCCAAAAGGTGCTATCTACAGAGACCACTCTTCCAAGCCACAGACCTGGGTGGACACTGCATCCTCTGAGATACCTTGCAGGCATCTCATACCTCAAGATGCAGAATGATCATCAGCTGCTTGGTCATTCAACTTAGAAACCCGGGTATCAGCCTTCACACCTCTCTAACTTCTAGACCTACCCATTCCACTTCCTAAGCCTCTCTCAAATCTGTCTATACTTGCCCCCAGCTGCCACTCTCATACAGTTCAAAGTTACCACCATTGCTCACCTTCTGCAAAGACCTCCTACAACTAGCCTTCCTTCCTTCTTACACTCCTGCCCCTACAGTCCATTCTTCACACAGCAGCCAACATTGTTTTAAAAACAAATCTGATTACTTCTGTATTTAAAATTTACCATGTCCTACCATGGCCCTACAAGGCATGGCCCCTGCATCCTTTCTCTTATTTTCTTTCCTCCTCCTCCTCCTAACCACTCACAATGATCCAGTTACGTGATCTCTCTCCTGCTCCTCAAACATGTCTACCACAAGGCCTTTGCACTTGTTCTACCTGTAATGACTCTTCCTCCAACTCTAGACTTAGTTGGTTTTCCATTCTTCAGGCCTCAGCTCAAATGTTACTTTACAGAGAGAACTTTCCCAAGCACCCTCTTCTTCTTCTTCTTTTTTTTTTTAGATACAGAGTTTCACTTTATTGCCCTTGGCAGAGTGCCGTAGTGTCACAGCTCACAACAACCTCCAACTCCTGGACTTAGGCGATTCTCTTGCCTCAGCCTCCCGAGAAGCTGGGACTACAGGTGCCCGCCAAAATGCCCAGCTATTTTTTTTGTTGCAGTTTGGCCAGGGCCAGGTTTGAACCCGCCACCCTCGGTATATAGGGCCAGCACCCTACACACTGAGCCACAGGCACCACCCTCAACCACTCTCTTCTGAAGAGGCCTCTTTCTACATCTGTGTCTCGTTTATATATTTGTTTACTTGTTTATTTCTGTCTCCTCAAGTAGGAGACCCCTTACATGCTTATTCATTACAGTAATCCCAGCACCTGAAACTGCCTGGCATACATTTGACACCCAAGAAATATTTGTTGAATGAGTAAGTATGGCCCACAAGGGCCTAGGGCAGGGGTCCCCAAACTTTTTAAACAGGGGGCCAGTTCACTGTCCCTCAGACCATTGGAGGGGCAGACTGCAGGCCCTGGGATGAGTCGGCTACTAAGCAGGATGGGAAGCGGCAGCAAAAACACCCGGCAGGCTGGATTAATGTCCTCAGCGGGCCCCATGTGGCCCGTGGGCCATAGTTTGAGGACACCTGGCCTAGGGGATCTGCTGTCCCTTCTAGCCTTTCTACCCCAACTCTAGCCATACCAGCTATCCATGTCTCAAACATACCATGCTGCAATTGGGGCCTGTACATGACTAGGTTCTCTCTACCTAGTTAATTCAGAAGCCTTCCCTGAACCCCTGTCCAAAGAAATAAAGTCTCCATGCTACATGTTTCTTCAGCAGCCTGGATACCCTCACACTCAAATTTGTTTCCTTCACGTCAAGTTTTACTGGGCTGTAAGCTCTGCTAGGACAAGGTCTGTGTGTCTTTCTTGCTTGTTGCTATAACCCCAGGGCCTCACCCAGAGCCAGGACCAGGTCAGGCATTAGTGTTTACAAACTCGTGCTAACTGTGGAGACTGGGCATGTGCCCAAAGAGGCCACAACCACACAGCAGCCCAGACCAGGCACCGAACGAATAGTACAGTCCAGCTGTAAAGAAGTTTGGTAAGAGGATGGCCACAGGTGGGGATAGGAGGAAGGATTTAGGTAAACAGGGAGAGGTCAGGAGGATTTTCTGGACATGTGCAAATTCCTCAGAGTAGATGTACTATGCATATTTAGGTAAGAAACAGATCAGCATCACTGGAATGAAGAATTTCTGAAAAGGAGATGGGAAATAAAAGGAAAGGAAGGCTGAGGCCGCCCTGTAGAAGTTCCTGATGGCCTGGGTTACTTCTTTGCTCCAGATTAAGTTCAACCACTTTTTGAAAATCTTTATCAGCTGATCCCACAGTAACCTCAATATATCCCAAATTGAACTGGTCATTCTCCTTTATCTTCCCCTGTCCTTGCAGTTCTCCTTTCTGGTTAGACGTGTTCTCAGGGCCTCTCACTCCTTTACTCTGTACATTACAATCAATAACAGAAACCTACTGCTTCTTAAGTATTCTTCAGACTCCACACTGGAGTGGTCTAAAACTGCAAGCCTGGTCAGAGATTCCCCTTGAGGACTCCTTATTGCGTATAGCAGGCATCCTCAAACTATGGCCCGCGGGCCACATGCAGCCTACCTAGGACATTTATCCGGCCCTCCGGGTGTTTCTGCCTCTGCTGCCTGTCCTGCTTAGCAGCCAACTCATCCCAGGGCCCGCAGTTCGGCCCTCCGATGGTCTAAGGGACAGTGAACTGGTCCCCTGTTTAAAAAGTCTGAGGACCCCTGGATAGGATTAAAGCCAGAACTTCTCAGCACCTGTATGATCTGGCCTGCTCACCTCCAGGTGCTCCACCACCCATTCCTCTGTTTCAGCCTGATCTACCCTTCTGAAGCTCACTCTCCAGGATACCTTGGCCTACCCTGACCTGGTTCATCTCCCCCTACAATAAGCCTTTCCTGACCAAATCTCTTCTATCATTCAAAGCCTCCTCCTGACCACCTCTTCACTCTACATCTCTGTTTTTATCACACTTCCAATTATAATCCTATAGGTCTGTCTACCTCACAAGACTGTGTGAACTTCTTGAAGTTTTATTTCATCTTTATATACCAGCACCTGAAGCACTGTAAGAAAGCTAAAATTTACAAGCACTTACACAGAGCTAAGCGTTTCACATGCACTGACTTGTTTATCATCACAATCTAATGAGATTGGTACTATCTTTACACTCACTGACAACGGAAGAAACCGAGGCACAGGAACTTCATTTGCCAAGTGCACCGATTTAAATACAGGCCTGATTCCTGGTCTTAACCACTTCAAGAAATTGGTTCAATAAATTTCTTAGGAGAAACCAGTGAAAATAAATAAGTAAATTACTGAAAACTAAAGAACCAAAGACGGTCCCAAAGTATGTGATTTCAGACTGTCCTCCTTCAATCTTATCTCCTGAGGGGAGAAGGCTGTCACACTACCGTTCCAGGACACCAGGCACAGTGAGTAACCGAGATAGAAGCGCCAGGCTAGGTATCTCCTATGGCTGGGAAAAAGCTTTTTCCTCCAGAAGATAAAACCGGGACTGAGAGCGTGCGGATACGGGTACACTCAGGGGAGCAGTATTGACTCGGGGGAAGGGTCTGGCCAGTGCCAAGCAGGCTGTGGAGAGGTAGGGGGTCCAGCGTGGGCTCCGGAAGCAGGAAAGGAAGCAGGTGTGGTATCTAAATTAGGATGAGGGTGGGGAGGGTGCTCGCTCAGAAGGGCGCAGACGGGCCTCCGCCTTCAGCAGTGGACCCTCAACTCGGGCGCTTGTTGGTTCACAGGCCTGGAGTGGGCTGAGACCTGCCCAGAAACCGGGAGAACGTAGGCGCGGACGAGCCCCTTCTGCTTCACGGGTTTTTCGGCCTGAAGTCCTAACTACGCCCCACTTCAAGTCTGGCCTCTTCACCGAAGAGGCTGCACACCTCGGGGTAAAAAGGGGAGCAGAGCTGTTGGGGGAAGGAGAGCACGGAGCCCCGAGGGAAGGGCGGGGGAGCCTGGGCCGGAAGGCGTCCCAGGCTGAGCTGGGAGCCGGCGCTCTCTTTCGACGCCACCCGTTGCCCCGCCCCCGAGCCGGCCGGGACGGCACAACGTCTCCGCCTCCAGCGCACCGCGCACCTCACCTTGAACGCCGCTCCACCCACTCTCATCTTATTGGGCCTCCCAGGCCGAGATAACACAGTGATTGGCCAGGGTGGTTCATTAAAGTCACGCCCATTTCTCCGCCCCCGTCCCCGTCCGCCGGTACTTTGGACGGCGGCGTGGCGCCCCTCCTCCCCTCCCGGTCCCCGCCCCCTGGAGCAAATGCTGCCGAGCTGCGGCCGCGGGGCAGATGCACGCGCTCGGGCCCTTCTAGTAGGCGCGAGCAGTCCCTGGGCGTGCGAAAGCGAAAGAAGGAAGAGGAAGGGAGGGCGAGGGCGGGGTGTTGAGGAGGGGCGGGAGGAGGAAGAGGAGGAGGTTGGAGCGCGCTCGCGCTTGGCCTCGAGCCCGCGCGGAGGGAGGGGGAGAGGGGCGCGCGCGCGCACGCTCGCGTTCTCGCCCGCTCCATCCATCCATCCTCCGGTCGCGGCACGCGCGCGCGCTCCGGGCTCGCGCCGCACCCCCCGCCCGAGAGAGGCCTTTATCAGCTGATCCCACAGTAACCTCAATATATCCCAAATTGAACTGGTCATTCTCCTTTATCTTCCCCTGTCCTTGCAGTTCTCCTTTCTGGTTAGACGTGTTCTCAGGGCCTCTCACTCCTTTACTCTGTACATTACAATCAATAACAGAAACCTACTGCTTCTTAAGTATTCTTCAGACTCCACACTGGAGTGGTCTAAAACTGCAAGCCTGGTCAGAGATTCCCCTTGAGGACTCCTTATTGCGTATAGCAGGCATCCTCAAACTATGGCCCGCGGGCCACATGCAGCCTACCTAGGACATTTATCCGGCCCTCCGGGTGTTTCTGCCTCTGCTGCCTGTCCTGCTTAGCAGCCAACTCATCCCAGGGCCCGCAGTTCGGCCCTCCGATGGTCTAAGGGACAGTGAACTGGTCCCCTGTTTAAAAAGTCTGAGGACCCCTGGATAGGATTAAAGCCAGAACTTCTCAGCACCTGTATGATCTGGCCTGCTCACCTCCAGGTGCTCCACCACCCATTCCTCTGTTTCAGCCTGATCTACCCTTCTGAAGCTCACTCTCCAGGATACCTTGGCCTACCCTGACCTGGTTCATCTCCCCCTACAATAAGCCTTTCCTGACCAAATCTCTTCTATCATTCAAAGCCTCCTCCTGACCACCTCTTCACTCTACATCTCTGTTTTTATCACACTTCCAATTATAATCCTATAGGTCTGTCTACCTCACAAGACTGTGTGAACTTCTTGAAGTTTTATTTCATCTTTATATACCAGCACCTGAAGCACTGTAAGAAAGCTAAAATTTACAAGCACTTACACAGAGCTAAGCGTTTCACATGCACTGACTTGTTTATCATCACAATCTAATGAGATTGGTACTATCTTTACACTCACTGACAACGGAAGAAACCGAGGCACAGGAACTTCATTTGCCAAGTGCACCGATTTAAATACAGGCCTGATTCCTGGTCTTAACCACTTCAAGAAATTGGTTCAATAAATTTCTTAGGAGAAACCAGTGAAAATAAATAA